ATAGAATTGAGAAAGGATTAAGGAGAGGAACTTCTTAATGTGAGTGTATAGAATATGCGAGAAAAAAATTTTTTTTTAGATAGCTCGGACTGGGACTCGAACCCAGAACCTTCCGAAGACATGTCGGCTACTCTACCATTTGAGCTATCCGGTCTATACTAAATTTCCTTTCACTTATTCTATATACATTAAGCCACACCGTCCATCTTACGGTTAGCATTTTTAACAAATATAAATAATGCTGTGAAGCGGGAAAGAATAGGAGTTACGGATAATTATTACGTGAAGCGTTCCAAGGATATATATCGTCTAATTTTTACTTACCTTTTCATGATTGCGTTGTAGCGCTCTGTAGAATAATTTCAGCCGACAATTTATCGTCGAAATCATACAACTAACAGCCATTGGTGCTGATAACTTGTGATAAAATCTAGAACCGGAATTTTTAGCCAATTCGAGGGAAAAAATTGGAAAAACTAAAGCTGTAGTCAAGTTAGCAGTAAATTTCTCCGCAATTTAAGTACAATTTTATAAAGAAAACTGTACAAGTTATTGCAGTAAATTTGTACCATCAGAGTTCGATAAAAACTTGGAATAGTCTGCACAAATCTACAGCCATATGGTCCGTAGATAAGTTACTGAAGAAAATTACCATGAACTGTATTACTTCGTTATGAGCTGAAGAACAAAGAGGTTGTTCTTACATTGACTGCTAGTTTGTATAATTTAATCTTCAAAACAACTGTACCTCTGGAACTCTGTTCTACCGCCCGTTCGCTTAACTAATGTCCTTATTATCGAACGTGGATATTACATCACTACACATGATCGATAAGGAAATTTTCTCTTCAATCTTTAAGCAAGTACCCTGATAGCTACCTTACCTATAACTTACTGTCAATCTACTTCCGCAATTTGAAGCAAACTTGACGGAAAGACTTGGCAAAGCGAGCGATTACCTATTAGTTACCTATAACTTACTCTGCAAATAGACGTCAAAACTTGCTGTACAAGTATTTCCGTCAAATTGTAGTAAAGTTGAAAGGGAATTTAACTACAAGTTTGATTGTTAACTTGTATTCAAGTTGCGGCCGTAGATTTCCGTCAATTTGCTTACAACTGTTGTTGAGTGAAGAATTACCGCCAACTTGATGGATAAATTAACCGTAACTGTTGGAAGTCAACACTTACTGAGAAAGCGCTGGCTATCAGGGTTTATTCGGCTTATCTTCAGAAAAATCCCGGCTGTAGATTCACAGTTTGTTCATCTGGGTAGTAGTTAAGAGAAATAATTCCAGATGTCTCTTCATTAAAATTCTCCATGGTCAAGATTGGAATCAACAATTATATGCTAATCACTTAATTAAACAGGAAAAAAGTTAATAAATATGATTTTTTATCAAGAATTTTTTATTCACGCTGTCGTAAATTATAAATGACTAAATTAATTGATGATCATTGTATCTAATTGCCGTGTATTTATTTATCAATTATCATACCCGTTTTTTAGCGGATTAATTCGTAATAACGAGTAATTTTAAAAGTTCGGAAAGCCCAGGGGTTAATAATAAGTAACGTCATTAGTTTTACAAGTCATTAGGTCACACACGAGCGTTTGAGATTATAAAATTCAACGCTATTACGCCGTAATTTATTATCAATATCAGAAAATAAATATAAATATCTTTCAATAATTTATTATTAAATTCCGTCTGATAAAATCTAATGAAATAAATATTTACGCAGTGAATTTTCTATTTTTTTTTTTCGCGAAACATTTTTTTACAGACTTTCCGGAGCCAATAAGTAAAATTTATATTTTAAAATATAATAATTGTTATATTAAGTGTTATTACAAGATTCAATGTTGATCGTCAAGGTTAAAAACAGTAAATTAACATTCTTGATCCGTTCGCACAAAGACGAGAAAGCCGTGGCTTCAATCGGGCACCATAATAGTACAGAAAACAATCCATTGCGTTCTGCGTTAGCTTTGAACAAAGACACGCCAATAAAACTTGTCAGTTTTTTTTTTATCAAGTAGATGAATCAATTTACGGTAATTATAATTCTCAAGTACACTTACACTCAGATCAATAAAATTTTTATATTAAATTGTTCATTTATTTCTCAGCTAATAACTGCGTTTTTTTTTTCTTAAATCCAGAAGAAGGAACTTTCATTTTAAAAATGTTTTTAGAGACACTTCCGTTTATGTTAATGAGTCTCGGAAAAATAAAAATAAATATTAATTTTTTTAAATTTATTACTCGACTATTTAAAATAAATATAATGTACGGACATATGTATATGATTGCTGTATAATGATCAAAGATATTAGTTCCGAAGTGTTTTTTTCATCAACTCATCATTCTTTCAATGCCACTGTAAATAACTACAATCTTGAACGAGCACATTAACCAAGGCCATCATTTGTATTTTCATGTTAAAAATATTTTTAGTTTTATTAAATATATTCCAGTTTTCGTTATTGAATAATAGTTAACGCGTAATTATTTTTCGTCGTTTCCGCGGTTCAAGTTTGTCGCTGGTTTTTCATAAAAAAAAACAATAGCTTGGAAAATTCAGAGATTCGCGGATTTTCCGAATCCTAATCGTGGAAATCCCCCGAGAAAAGCCAGAGTATCAACATAAACACCGAAGCAAAAATAGCGACACCATGCAGCATTACTCACTGCTTTTCTTATGCAATCATCACAGGATTATCTTTGAGTGGTGTTGGTGTTATAACAAGCTATAAAAGAAGGAAGATCCAAGAGCTCTCATGCAGTTTATTCCGGCTATTTGATATTCGGAGGCTGTATTACTATACTGCCTACATCTTGCTGTTTATTATTAACTATTTTATTACATTGGTTATTTAGTTTTTAAAATGTGGAAGTCCGTGTCGTTATTTTTGTTTGTTTTACTATCAACATCAAGTTCTTTACCGCTTGAGCCTGATTTTGGTATTATATATTTTTAATAATAATTCATAATCAAATTTTGCAAGAAATTGATAATTATTCTTAAAATTATTTCATTTTTTTTTTTTTTACAAAATTTGTAGAAAAAATTTTTATCAATTAAATAGTCTATTTATATTTTATCAATACTTAAATCTTGATTAAAAATTAAAATTTTATATTAAATTTCAATACAGATTAAAAAGTAAATGGTATCATTAAGTAATTTTTAAAAATTTATTTATAAATTTTTATATGAATTGAAAATTTTACAATTTACACTGATAAAAAAATTGACTTAAAAAAAAATTTTTGAACATAGAAAAATAATTAAAAAAAAAATTGATGATCTTAAATAAATAAATAAATAAAAATTTTAGAGCCAAGAAAAATTTATTCAAATAAAAAAAAACAATTTTGAACAGAAAAATAATTTTAAAAAAATTGATCTTAAATAAATAAGTAAAAATTTTTGAGCCAAGAAAAATTTATTAAAAAAAAAAAAAAAAAACTAGCAATAATTTTTAATCTTCAATTAAATACAATCTAATCATTTATTTAAACTTAAAGGAAGGTCAACACCGCAAACTGATGATGCATTACCAACTCTAGCCACAGAATTGCAACCACCACGATTTGATGCCGAAACAGCAAGTTATTCTGAGAAAATTATCGACGAAAGCAATCGTACACTTTCAACGGAGCTAGAAGCGCCGAATGAAGATGCGGAAATCGGGGATTTTGGGGTTGACACCGTCGAACCCACCATCTCTACGGAATTGGAACCACCCACCGAAGACGCGGAACCCTTTCACTCGGGAGCCGTGTATATCATAAACCTCTTCGCCATAAAAAACGCGTCAACCAGCGAGGAAACTAACGAAATTTTGACTGACGAATTCGCAGCACAAAATCCTACAGTCTTAGGTAAGTAATAATTAATAATAATAATAGCAACAAGAAATTTGACCAGGGGACTGATTAATTTTGTCAATTTAGAACCAATAGCGACAGTGTTGCTGGTTGTTGAAGAGGATGATGAGGATAAGCCAGTCAGCTTAGACGAACTGGCCAAAGACTTAGAGGCGGAAGGGTTCAAAGTTGAGAAGATCGGTGAAGGAGAAACTCAATTGATAAAGATTGATATGGATGAGATAGATCATAAAGACGTCGAGTTAATCAAGTCCGGAAAGCTTAGCAAAGTCCGAAGGCGTCGCACTTTAGGTCACGGGGGTGGGCTTCTTAGTAAGTTGTTAAACAAACACTCGGGTGGTGATAGTTGCCAAGTTTGCAATAGTGGATACCAACAACCTCAGTCTACAGGTATAAAAATTTTGTTATTATTATTATTATTTAGTAGATTTCATAGAAATTTTACTATTGCGTTTATCTTTATGACGCAACTTTTGAAAAATTTAGCTATTTTCTGACTCAGTTCGTCAAGCTGGTTCAGAAAATACCATTAGTCCAAAAGTTTATATATTTATATACAATACCGACGGAAAGTTTCCGGACAAGCTTCTTGTTTACTTTTTAATTTAAATATGATACATAAGCACATTAGCTTGATCTATAAAGAAAATGCTATGTTATTTTACAAAGTGTGTACGAGCGTGTCTGTGAATTTCCTCTTGATTTTATTTTTTTTTTTTTTTCTTAATTTGTTTAAAGTCGCATAAACTACTAAGGTCAAGAGCGACTACGGTAGGGGGTAAACTTTTGAGATTGGAACTCGTTTTATTTCTTGGGATGAGCAGTATAATACACTTAAATATTGAAAATATTCATTGGTGTACGCCGGACTCGAACCCGGTCCAATGCTTTGGTAAGCAAGGGCCGGATCCGATAGGCTACTGCGCGCCCTTGATTTTTTTTATTTTTAATAATTGTTTTAATAAATTTTCATCTTGTCCGGAAACTTTCTGTCGGCAGTGTACGATACAACGCGACTTATCCGGACAATAGCGTCTCTAATTCATAATGAATCTTTTCCAAACTCAACATAATTTTTAGACAAATATCAAGGTCTAGTTCAAAGATGAGCTTAATCGGTCAAGTAGTTTAGAAATTACAGGGTATCAAAATTATAAAAATCATAAAAATTCATATTTTAGGAGATTTTTCGCGCATAACTTCCGAATGAAATAACTTATCGAATTTTTATAAATTGAATTTCAAAACATATTAAACGAGTTTCAATTTTTATGCCATTTTATTCTCCTAAATTTAAAAGAACCTGTTTGACTGTAGGTTTTTAATGAAATTTTACTCTTACAGTTGTTTTTTCGATCAATTTATCCAGCATTTCTCATAAAAATCTATTTATATTTTGATCCTTATTCTCAATGCATTATTTTTTTTTCTATTCATTATAAAATTTACTTCAATTTCGGCTGCCAAATGGTCTTTTTTTCCGTTTAAAATTTTTTAATTTGTTTTATGCGATTTATTTTCAGGTGTCGGATATATACCTCTAGTTATTGTTCAACAACAACCACAACAACATTATCAACAGCCACAACAACATTATCAACCGGCGCCTCAGCCGCATTATCAACCGGCGCCACAGCCGCATTACCAACCACAGCCTCAGCCACAGTACCAACCCCAGCCTCAGCCGCATTACCAACAGCCAAGTAACGGATGCAACACATGTGGTGGCGGGTAAGTTTACTTTTTTGCTCATAAGATAAGATAAAAATTTTTTTTGTCTTACATTATATTATCAGTTTAATAATGTGATATTATAAATAAAAATTTAAATTATTTAATTTAAATGATAATTTTTTTTTCTTTGTAGAAATCACGGGTCTTACAGTCAAGCGTCGGCTCAATCCTCATCCCAAAGTTGGTGAACAAATCAGTGAAAATAAATAAAAATGACTTTCATTAATTAAGTTTATCAATTACGCAGTAAATAAAATGAACTGTAAATTTATATCTTTGAATAAAAAAAAATTTGAAAGCAAATAAAAGTTTACTTAGATGTCTTGATAAAAAATAATAAAAAAAAAATAAAGTTATAATTCTGTGTGAATTTGAAATTATAGAGTAAATAAATAGTAACCGAGTGAATCAAGGAGCAAATTTACCTTGCTCTTGAAATGCAATATTAGTCATGTAATTAAGCGACAAACAGCAGAGTCCGAGTTGCATAAACTCGTAGATGGCACGAAACAACAAAGAGGAAGAAACGAAAGGAAAAGAACGCGGACATTAAAATTAAACAGAGTACTGTGTAATTATTCAAATAGATATTTTTGTACAGCAACAAAACGTACATTGTCTACGGAGTACTACTTCTAGTAAAATGACTCAGTGTTTGCGTGTGCCTCACAGATATTTCCGGCACTTAGACTAATCATATCGGAGCAATAGTAATCGGAATCATCGTAGGCGTTTAATAAAATTTGCTAGCAGACCGCGGAGCTTAGATCGTCTACACAGTAAGTAAGAGTAAATCGAAAAATATCGAGACGTGTATTTATTGAATAAGAGTAAGTTGTTTTGTACACATAATGTCTATGTATCGCTGGAAACAATTGTTAAATTATTACAACGGATATTATATAATAGCACTGCAGGATCACGTTGTCAGGACAAATTATTACTGAGTCAAGTGAGTCTATACTGATGATCACGATGATATAAAAGTCGAAACACAATACCTCTCGTGTACAGTATCTATTTCAAAGTTGCTTTATTAAAACTCGTTTATTCGTTTTTTATTCAGTCGACCATTATGTTTCAGTCGAATTATTTATTAGGATTGCTCTTTGTTATTTCTGTCGTACGGGCAACCCCAGTGACTATTAATTCTGGTAAATTATTCTATCAATTGAGGATATTTTTAGACGGTACCTTTTTATTACTTCCTTGAGAAATTTGATGGCAAAAAATGATAAAGACATTTTTTTTTTTTTAATTAAAAATGATTATGAGAATTTAACGATAATTATTAATTTTTTTTTTTTTGGTTAAAGTTTAAAATTACTTAAATTTTAGTTGAAAATAAATAAAGTGTACTGTCTAAAAAAATTTTAAGTGGTATTAATGAAAATATTTTTTAATAGATGACAATCAAAATGGAGATGTGGTGTATGTATTCAATATTTATTCTGTTAGAAATATGAAGACCAAAGAAATAGCTAAAATGATTGATCAAAAACCACTGGAGAAAGTATCTGCCAAATTTGGTATGAAAAATTTTTTTAAAATTGATCAATAAAAAAATTTTTTTTTTTTACCTAAAAAAACATGTTTTTTAAATTGATCAATAAAAAATTGATTTTTTTTTATTTAAAAAAAAAAATTTGAGGAAAAATTTTTTTAAATTGATTTTTTTTATTTAAAAAAAAATTTGTATGAAAAATTTTTTAAAATTGATCAATAAAAAATGTATTTTTTTTTCTTTAATGTATAAAGTAATTTATATGAAAAAAATTTTTTGTAGATCCGATAGGAACATTTATGGTAGCCGACCCGGAAGGTAATGAGCCATTCACTCTAGAAGATTTCGGGGACTTTATAGAACAGTGGGGAGCGACGGTAGAAAAATTGAACGAGGGAAAAGAATTAACAGTGATAGAAGTTAAGTTTGACCCGAATTGGGAAGACTACGATGAAATATTAGACATCGAGGAACTGATGAGAGCTCTCCGAGCCGAAGGAATTATTATGACAGTAACCCAAGACAAAGATAATATTATTTTTGAAATAGAGCTCGACGCGACAATAAAGGATCCAGAGGATCAGCCGTTCACGCTCAAGGAGCTCGCCGAGTACTTCAGAGACGAAGGACTGAATGTCGAGGCTGTCGGGTACGACGGTGTTATCAAGACTGTGAGAATAACTTTCGGCCTTCCTGAGCAGTCGACAGAGCAGGAGGATTATCAAGTCACGGAAAAACACGATCGGCAACTGGTCACCCCGAAAACCGTCGACGCTCCGCAGAAAAAAGATGACCGGCCTTATAAAATAGATAACTCTATGGACAATGCGATCGATCGCAGCTTTGATAAGAAAATGGAGAGGAAGGAAGAGCACTATGATGATAAATTCAATATGGTTAATTTTATTACACGAACTAGGAAACGACGGTCAGCTGATGCCTGTGGCACCGCTGAATGCCAAGTTGGTAATTTAATTAAAGAAATCGTCAACAAATACGAGCTCGCTAATTAATTAGTGTATTCATTAAATTAAATTTATTCACGCTATAATGATGATGATAAAATCCATTATTTGACAGAGCAAATAATTAATTAATTAATTAATTCGAATGTTTATCTACGATGTTTGATTTAATTTTTTTATTTGTATATGGACATATGTATGAAGAATATTACGACTCAATAATTATCTAATGACACTTTTTTTTTTTTAATTTTTTGTCTTTAATTATTGATTTGATAGCGTGTAATAAAAACGTCTTATTTAAAAAAAAAAAAAAATACAAATGAATTTAATTGATCTGTTATTATTTTTAAATTCATATAATACTTGGATGAAATTATAATCAATTGGATTTTAATAAAGATGAAAAAAAAAACAATTGAATTGCAGTGACTAATAATGGCTAGTTATTTTACTGAGGTAATCTATGTTATTAAGAGAATAAGCAAAATTTTGTGGCCAGCGTATTTATATGATAAAATGGGTTTTTATGGTTAAATTTGGTATCGTTGGAAAAGTCTTAACCTGGAGTTGTGCCTTTTCATGATTTTATATCATTCTCACCAATAGTCAATTTATGATGATAGGTATTTAGGCTGCATTTGAAAATACTTTATATCTAGATACATTATTAAGAAATTACCTAGTTTCTTGTAAGCTATTGACATTTTTAAAGATATAAGCTCATCCCGATGTTACACTCATCAAGAGCTTTCATTTGAGTACCCACATTATCAAAATGCATGTGGGTACTCAAATGAAAGCTCTTGATGAGTGTAACATCGGGATGAGCTTATATCTTTAAAAACGTCAATAGTTAAAAAATTACAGGGCAATTTAACAAAAGTCATTATTTAATAAAGCAAAATTTATTTATTTATAGTTCACAAGTCACGGAAGTCACATAGTGACTGCAAGGTTGCTAGTTATTTTTAACTTGAGAATATGTGACAGGTTTTTTTTTTAAATTACATAAAATATTTTGTCTAAATTTGAAGAATTTCATAAAATATTCAAGCTCGATAAAGTAGAATTTTATATAAACTCTTCATTATAAATAGGTATATGACCTATGAATGATTGGTATAGAAAATGAATTACTTACTAGCAAGAGGTAAAATTGAAACTATATTCGGAGTAGTAAGTACTTATCGTTGAGCTCTTGGTTAAATATTTCAATAGTTAGTTACTATAATTGACTATTAGGAGTTAGTTGGCAGGTAATCGGGTTAAAGTCAGATTTGGTGTAAGTAAATACTGGAAATTATTGAAACATCACGGTAAATATACTTAAGTAAAATCAAAACTGTAAGACATATATTCAAAGCGTTTAATTAATGATCAATACTATTTTAGTAAAAACGTGGTATAAATTTTAAAGTCAGTATTAATGTCAGTGGTTTTTAATTAAAAATTAACTAGAGTAAAAAAAAGTTGTTTAAATCTGTACGATTATATTTAATCTGTAAAAAAAACTACTAATTTTTAACGTTTAACTGAAATGAGGAAATTGTCGCGCTTTGTGAGTGACATATCATTCTTTTAAAAGGACACGTGTCATATTTTTTAACAGGACATTTATCTGATTATAGATAAATTTTTCTACTCAACTGACATTTAATTATATTTCTGTTTTCATGTCACTTCAACGAGCTATAATTATTATTTAAATTATCGATTTATAAATACTATCGGTAAAATTAATTACAACTATAATTATAAAGATAAATAGAATGGAACTAATCTAATCCTCATCATCATCATCATCACTGAAAATTTTCCTAGATTGTTTGGACTCACTTGGTTGATTTATTTCATCAGCATCACTCTCATTATCACTGATGATTATACGACTTTGTTTTGACTCACTCGACTTTAAAAGTTTATCAAAATCACTTTCTTCCTCTTTTTTATCTTCATCATCTTCGCTGTCAATAACTCGGCGCTTTTTTAATACCGGAGTTTCTGAATCTGAGTTTTCCGATCTAATTCTTTTAGCTTCTTCTAAAAAAAAAAGATAATAATAATAATAATAATAATAATAATAATAATAATAATAATAATAATAATAATAATAATAATTCAAAATTTAATTAAAATTTATAATTACCACTATCTGTAGTAATTTTAGTAGTTTCAATTTCCATTTCCGAGTCTGATGAATTTACGATGGATTTAATTCGACTTGAATTTAATTTTCCTTGCCGTACTTTTGATATATTTGTACGTCCTCTTCCTTCCTTTCCACCATTATCTATTTTTTTATCTTTATCAACCAGTACAGATTTTTCTTTCATCAAAGATGAAGATTCCCCAGAATCTTCATCACTGCTCAAGTTGAAAACTTTACTCTTGACAACCTGTTTTTTATTTTGTAATTTCGATTTCTGCTTAAACATATTTTTTATTTTATCGATATCGCGCTGAGTGTCTTCATCATCTGATTCGCTAACACTATCTACTATATCTTTTTCAGTGGTAACCGATTCTAAGTAAAGAAAAATTAAAAAACTTTTATTACAAATGAAATAATATAAAAATACATTAAAAAAATAAAGAAAAAAATGAAACCTTGGATAAAATCTCCAGCTAGGGCTTTAGCGATTAAATCGCAACGTTTACGTATTGTAGATGAAAGCATTGTGGCTGGTATTCGCCAATAAGCTTCCTGTTCATTCGAGGGTGGTTCAATACCGCAAGCACGAAGAAATCGCATAAAAGTTGGTGAATCCATTGCAGCTGATGAATAATCCGTTATCGGTACTAGTGGGATGCCATCGGCACTTTCTTCATCTCGGTCTTCCAAAGCCTCCTCGAGCGATTCCTTAATCCACTCGAGAGACTCCCTCATATCTGATCGCAAACATTCCCCAGTAAATTAAATGTGCATTTAAATTAACTTACGGTATAGTTTTGCCACCACCGTCATTAAAAAATACTTATCACAACTATTTTCACGTTATTGCATTAATTAACTCACCATTATCGATAACGTCTTTCAGGAGTCCCGATAGCTGCGCATCGGTGTAAGTTATTACAGGCGGCCGTTTTTTATTATTTTTCTTAACTATTTTTTTGTTGGCTCTCTTCGCCGGGCCCGGATGACGCCCAGTGTCTTCCGTATCTGACGAGTCTTCTTCATTGCTACTTGACGCGGATCGTTCGCTCTCTGATCGCGTTTCCCACGAGGCTTTAGGTACTGTCATAAAACCAATATATTGATTAGATATTGTATTATTTTATATATTAAACGTTTTGTTTCATTTTATCGCTAAATTATTAGGTCGGAAATTACGAGCGATGCTCAACATTTAATAATATATTTATTTATTATTTTTTATTAAGGAGATAATTTAATGAATGCAAGTTATTCGGTTGTGAAGAACCGATAAATTTTAAATTAAATTCAACATTTTAATTAGCTTTATTTTAAGAGTTATCGGAAGTTCAGAAACTTTCTTTTGAATATTTAATGCTCGATAAGATTTATTTTATTTAAATTACTTGTAGTTGTATTTTTTTCAAGAACTTTTATTTTTATACTTCAATATTAAATAGATGAAAACAAAAATTATGTACATAGTAAAAAATTTTGTGTTAAAAATTTTTATGTTAAATATTTAACACTTTTTTGTGTTAATTTAATAGAATAAATATTAAATTTATACATAAAAGTGTTAAATATTTAACACTCTTATACTTTACTGCGACTTAAGTTTTTTAGAAAATAATTTTAAAAAAATTGTTGTAAGAAAATTTTTTTATCATTAACCATTCTTTAAAAGTTCCCTCTCAAATTGAGATCCTTTTTTATGGGACCATTCCATTAAGCCTGCCTGTTAAATCTTAATTGGTTCATGTGAAACCACCAAGAACCAGCGGACCGATCATAACAAAGAATATTTAAAGTAAGGTATTAGGTACTCGCGAGCCCCTAAAGCTTCAGCTTAAGTTAAAAAATACTCTAACTCATAAAAGTAAAACTTTTTTAAATAAATACCTACAAGTTATGATTTAGTAATTTAAAATTAGTATTGAATTAAATTATAAATAAAAATTCTTCTAGAAGTAGAAGTTTATTTACGAGTAAATAAGTAAACTTTAATCAATAATTTTAGCGAAGAATTAAAATTCCGTAAAACTATTTTGTTTCGGTTCTTTCTTTAAAACTTCGTTAAGCCAATCTATTGAAATGCATCGAATACGAATAAGATTTTCCAAGTAAAACAATATTTTTCATGAATCTTAAATTTCTCGTAGCTTGAACCAGCACAAGAAAGTTGAGGGAAAAAAATCTAAATAAAAATAAAAGCAAAACTTTATAGAGAACAAATAAAAAATTGAAGTCAGAGTTTGAAAAAAAAAAAAAAAGTTAAAAGTAGATAAGGAAGATATAATAAATGAGAATTTAGCGGACAACGCGGTAGTAGTTAATAAGGTGATTTTATCAAAGTGAAGGTAAAATAAATATCAGTTGAATAAATGTGAATTGAGTTTGGAAGTCTTATTAAATCCGACAAACTGACAAAGTTTAAAACGATCCGACGGAATAGTATAGTAAGCATCAGCATCCGAGTCGAATTGAGTAGAATAGTTGATGCATAAATATGCTCGAATGGTTCTTTATATTGAAGCATTCAAGGTTCTCATAGATATCCTGATATTGCTGATACACCAGGAATTCTCTTCATAATCTATCGATTTGATTCTACTGTGCTGTGCGCCATTCATCGCATGCATTCTGCTATACTCTTCTCTTCTGTGCTACTATATACTTAGCATTAATCCGCTGACAGAATGTCGGCTGACGTAAATTAACCAATTACTGTAGAGGGTGTTTGTGATAATGATAATTATCTGGTGTTTTGAACCGTTGGAATACATTAAATTGCTCAGATAAAATTCCTATGTGATGCTAATACAGTCTAATGGTTAAGCTCGTTGGTAAAGATACCGGAGATAATTTATAATATGTCATCGCGTGACACAAAACTTTAAGTATGAGCAGAGTAGGTGTAGTGGTAGGTGTTGCTGTTAACTGTCGCACGGTACAGTCTAAGCACGAGTGTTTAGACACTTGACAAGACCCGAGAACGCATGAGCTTTCATTTTCTTGTTAAGTGTCCGAGTGATGCAAGGTGGTTGGGAAATTTTAACGAGGAATGATGTTAGCTTAAAAAAAATTTATTGTTACACTTTCAATTTTTATTTGTTTAGTAAGTTTTATAACTAAATTGATTTGTGCCAGTAAATTTAGGTTAAAAAAATTTAATGGTCTGTTATATTGGTATACTGATAATAGGTTTTGTGATAATCAGTAAACTTATTATGATTATCAAAATATCACGTTTCCTTAGTAACACAAGTTTATTGATTATCAATAAAAATATTCTTAGTAGCAAAATACTTTTTTTTCAGTGCAGTGATTAAATTGATCTCAGTATTTGTTTAATTAGTTTTTGAGCTAAGTATTCGGATAGAAAAGAGAAAGTGACGGAGAGAAAATAAAATAAAATAAAACAATAAGTACTTACAGCCGTCGCTCTTACTCTTACTCTTCTTGGTACGTTTTTTCCGTAATTCTTTAGGATCTTTCGCCAGCCCTAATTCCAGCAGCTTTTCCTTTATTTTTGGCTTCGGGCGTTTTATCCTCAATCCAGCATAAATAAGATCAACTGGATCTGTTTAATTAAATATTGTTGTAAGTTATTTTTTATTTTGGAATCAGGAGTGTCGTCGTAAATGCCGTTAATTAAATTTCTCAAACTAATTTTAACGCTCAGTAAAACATAAATTTATTGTTGTTAAATATTCTACTGATAACAATTAAACAGAAAATAAAATAAAACTTTTTACCGTCATCATTTTTAACGTTTTCCCACATTTCTGTTAATTGTCCTACTTCTTCTTCGCTCCATTCTTTTGGTAACCGTTTTTGTACTTCATTTCTGACTTGCTGTTGAAAAAAATTAAATAATTTTTTTTTTTTTTTTTTTAGATTGTTTTAATAATGATAATAATAGTATTAAAACTTATAGAAAGTCATAAACTGTAAGTAGCATTAAAATTCGGCCCAGTTCCTGCTAGTATTTCATAAACTTTTTAATTTTAATTTTTTTTTTTTTTTTTTTTTGTTATTATTCAAACAATCTTATTTTTACTCGGTATTATTTTGAGCTGTGGCTACGAATTTAAAAGTAGGACACTAAAGTTTGATGAAAAAAAAATTATCAAGTGTTAAAGTAGAGATGAATTATTTTCTTCTAACCGGAGTGCATTTCAATAGTCGTATAAAGAATATGCATATTATTACTTGATATAAAAAAAAAATAATAATAATAATAAAAGTAAAATGCACAACATGACTCTATACATAGAAATAAAAAGTAATTTAGAAGAAGAAGAAGGAAATTCCACGTGGAATTGTCTTCTACGGAATTTTCAATTCCTTTAAGTCAGTCTAAATAATTTTTTTTTATTTTTTAAAACTTATTTATTTATTATTTTTTCATTTTATTTTAGGTGAAAAATATATTTTAGCGCTTGACGTTTGCGTATGTTTCAGCGTAAGTACCAGAAGCTTCTCACTCTCAACTCTGGTGCCATAAATCATTGATCTTGTTTCTCATCGAGAAATGGCTGCTGTACACAAGATAGTACAGAAGAGAATTAAAGAGGGCGTTTACCACAAGTACGTACAGTGGTTACGCGTATACTCGATCACTGCTAAAAAAGAGTACACAAATGAATAGTAAAGGGCCGCGAGAAAGCAAACAAAAGATAAAAAATAAATAATAAAACAATAGAGTGTAAGGGTTGGAAAAAATAGTCTACCGATGGACTGTATACGAGGACACGTTTTAAACTCTAGGATAAAAAACGCGAAATGTTTTTCCGTATTCTGCGTTGATAGTACTCGTTATTGTCCACAAAGAATGATAATTCATAGTTGTTTGCTGAAAGATTAAAACAAAGCGCGCTTTTTAATTTTTTTTCGTCCGTACTAGAGCACTGTAGAGAAGAATAAGTTCAAATTGCTTTCCCAAGGGAACGTTACTTTTTGCTCGATTTTTTTAGCTTCTCGCTCTTGCTTGCGGGAAAAAAAGTTCTAATTACTTCAAACAACTGTATGAACTAATTAGTCTCAACTCTTTAATTGACAAATGGATAATTACCTTAGAGTTTACAGTCAAATGCATCTCCTTGAGTTTTTTAATTACACCGCGGCGCGTTCGATCGTCGCTGATAATATTTTCCAAGATCCAATCGATGACATCTGTACAAATTTAATTATCTATATTATTAAGAGAATAAGAAAAATTTTGTGGCCAGTGTATTTATATGACAAAATAGGTTTTTATAATTAAATTTGATATCATTGGAAAGGTCTTGACCTCGAGTTGTGCCTTTTCAAGGTTTCATATCATTCTCATCGATAGTTAATTTATGATGATAAGTATTTAAGCTGCATTCGAAAATACTCTATCTCTAGATACATAATTAAGAAATGACCTTGTATCTTGAGAACTATTGACATTTTTAAAGATATAAGCTCATCCCAATGTTACACTCAACAAGACCTTTCATTTGAGTACCCACATTGATTTTTCATATATTTATATATATTATATATATGTATATATGAAAAATATATCAAAATGCATGTGGGTACTCAAATGAAAGCTCTTGATGAGTGTAAAATCGGAATGAGCTTATATCTTAAAAAATGTCAATAATTAAGAACTGACTTTGCTATCTTGTCAACTAATGACATTTTTAAAGATATAAGCTCATCCCAATGTTACACTCAACAAGACCTTTCATTTGAGTACCCACATTGATTTTTCATAT